ACTGCCTCATCTCTCCTATTCGGCCAACGTAGGGTTCTTGGAGAAGGGCGAACGCAATCTTGCGTTTTATGGCCTCCGTAATTAGCTCTGCCGTTGCGATCTCACTCCGTTGGAGATTTGCCTGCATTGCACGGTATCGGTGGTTGCCTGGAACCCCTGTCACTACCTTAGCAGTAAGCTACCGCCGATCTTGCCAGGAGTTCCCACTTTCTTTTGACAGGGCAATCCGCGCTAAAGGCGTTGTGGTCGTTCCTGTCAATCTTTGCCTTCGTGCAGTTTCTGCAGGAAGGCATTCCACCTGCGAGCCACATTTCACATTTTTCCCTGAGATGTGGGCCCCCACAGTGACTGCACACGTCTATAGTTTCGGTGCACAGCCTCTTCGTGTGCCCATATCCCAGGCATCTTGTGCACTGGATAAGGGGGTGTAACTCGCACCCCCGCTTTATTGTGTATATATATAATTAAACTTATATATTTTTTTCCCCATTATATGAATAAATCATATAATATCATTACGTGACCAGGATAAATTATTGATCTTTCTATAGGATCTTTCTAAAGGTAATAATTAGCCGTATAATAATATTATTGTGATCGTCATATTCGTAGGACCTCATTTACGTTGTGTTTATTTATGTAACTTGATTCTTTTAGGTGTAATCTTGGATAGATTAATTATTCACTAGTCGTGGTATAAGCCAAAGATAATGCTAGATTGCTTTCTTATTAAATAACCCCCGACTCGCTTGAGACTGGGCTCAGAGTATGTTATAGTAAACTCCCTCTCCCGCTTGTAAAGGGCTCACAATATAATTTTTAAACTAATATCCCTTCTCTCTTGAAAAGGGCTCACATCAATTTTCCATACCCGATACAAGTCAACAGCTCCCCCACATTTTAAAAAAAAATGTAGGGAAGGCACACGGCTCCATGAAAACACTCACCAACGCGTGCGGTGAGCGCCAACCAACATATTTTTATGTTTAGCCATCAGAAGGGTTTATAATTGGTACTTTTTTTGGCAACATTAATTATTTGTCATGTCCGTCTGACCCGTTGAGTATATGGCCACCGCATGAACAGCTGTATTTCTAAGTGGTTGCCTGCCGGCTGCTACATTAGCGTATGACGCCCTCTCTTCATTGTTCCCTCTCTCCTTCACCAATTCCCGGAGCCTCTCCATCTCCTTTCTATTTTCTTCCAACAATTTTGAGTGTTCTTCCAATTTCTGTAGTAACTTACCTTCCTCCTCATTTTTTCTAATGTCTTTTGTTTCCATTTTTTCGGAATTGTCCATCAGTGTCTCTTGTCTATCACACCTATAACCCTTCTCTTTTTCCGTCGTCCTTTCCAGTTCAGCCTCCTTGACCAGGCTGTACAGTTTTTCAACTGCTTGCATTACCTCAAGTTTAATATCCGTCTTGAGGTTTCGGGAATTGTTTAAGTGGAGTTTTGCCTTATGGAGGCTGGCCCGTGCTTCTGCCACTCGGTCCCTTTTTTTGTGAGGTTCTGCACTGGGCAGATTATTCTCATCCTCACCCTCTAGTGGCTTTTCGGATGTTGTGGCCTTCACTGGCTGGGATAGTGCCATTCTCTTCGGGCGGGCCGCCGCTGCCGTTTGCCTTGTGCCCTGACGCTCCATATTTGCTTCCTCTCCCCTGCGTTCTTGTTCCCACTCTCCAATACTACGTCTAACGCTGATGTTAGCCCCTTTTGTTTTTGGAGAAGGTCCTGCCCTCTCCCCTCCGCTCGGGGGGGTCCTAATTTTTGATTCGTTTTCTGCGCTTTTCGCGGGGGTACGGAAGCCGAACATGTCGTAGGGGAAAGTGTCAAATATAAAAGTTGTAAATAAAATAAAATAAAATAGAGATATATTCTAAATGTCAATATTGGTAAATTTTTAAGAATTGTAATATCAATCTGTATGTATAGGTACAGATCGATACAAGTCTTACGCCCTGCGAGTGGACCTCAATATGACGAAAAACAAAAAACAAAATGGCCGCCGATCTATTTGGTCACTTGGTCAATGATAGGGCTAGTCAAATCATTCAGTTTATTAAAAACCGCGTCTAAATCGGGCTACTATTTCCGGAGATATGGCCTACCGAAAATTTGCAAGATGGCGGCCAAAATGGCGTCGACAATCTTTAAACGTCTATAACTTCGGCCGTTTTTGTCCCAGAGCTGCGGGGTTTTCGCCTATGTCATTAAGAGTTCTTTTCCTTCCTATTTTTGAGGTAAGGAGGGGTCTCTTTTTTGGGCTCTATGTAGAGTCACTTTTTGGCTTTTTGGGTAGCTCTCAATTAGGCTTTTATGAGGTCCAAAACCGCGTCTCTATGCGATACTCCAGTCAAAAGTTACAGTCAATTTAATTTTTTCAATATGGCCGCCAAAATGTCCTAATTTTACAAATCTTTACTTCCATAAGTCTGAAGTTCAGTCGTGTTTGGGCTTATTTTAACGGGCTTTTTGTCTTCTTTTATAATTTGAATCTAAATTTTAAATTTTATGCCCCCCTGATTTAATATTTACGAAAAACCCTAATTATTATGCTAATTTAACTATATTTCGTGAAAAAACCTTATAAAAAATCTACAAAAATTTTTATATGCTACTTGGGGGTCCTCCTATTTTTCTAGCTGATAGTCCGGTGCTCTGGGCTATTCTTAAGGATACCTCATGTATAAGTCAAATTTATATAAATTTATATCTTAAAAACTACTTGTGCAAAAAATTTCAAAATTTACAGTAATGTACCTTACAACTAACTTAATCTTAATATACAATAAAAACCACTGGTCGTCGATTTAGTTTCCGAGAACTAATTTTTTGAAATTTTGTCAAATTTTTAAAAGTCTATAACTTTTCGCCCACTTAACTTTTTGATGTGCTTGATGGCTCCCCTGGCTCCTTTCGATTTCTTCTAGCAGAAGACACCACCAAAAGTAGCCGCACGACCTCGCTTCGCGAAGCACGTGCCACGTGGTCACTTGTTTTTTTGCTGTTTTCTCGGCTATGTGTAGCCGAAAAAATCCGAAATTTTGCCCGAACGTGGGGGCCACCAATGCCCTTCGGGGCACACAATAAAAAGTGGTGGTCACCGCGACCAATCGCGCAGCGTTTCACTTTAAAGTTTAAAATTTTTAATTTTTCCGGTTTTTCACGAATAACTTTTAAACCAGGTGTGTCCGGCTAAATCTGATTTTACCACTGCACTCCTCGCTTCAGCGCGCAAATTTTGATATATAACACCAATACTTTCCGCACAAAAAACCCGCACTTTCGATTTTTTCCAATTAATTTCGTGGCGGAGCGACGCGAAACGACACGGGAGCCTGGTACTCGCGGTGAGAGCTGGCACCGGACGGTGGTTAGGTTAGGTTAGGTTAGGTTAGGTTAGGTTAGGTTAGGTTAGGTTAGGTTAGGTTAGGTTAGGGTCTAGGTTAGGTTAGGTTAGGTTAGGTGCATTTCCCATCGTTAAAAAAAAAAAAAAAAAAAAAAAAAAGGTTAGGTTCGTGAGGTCAATGGCCCTGTATGGGGCTCCCGTGTGGGTTTGGCAACATTGAAGCCCGGAAGGAGCAAAAGCCATTTTGTGCCAACCGCAAAGGTGTGGTTGGCCTACGAGCAATTCGGGCGGGGCTAACCGGAGCCATATCCGGTGAGGCGGGCGTGCCTGTTGGCTGGTTCTTTGGACTGGGAACCTGGAAGCCTGAAAATCTTCCGCGGTTCACTGCACTTCTTCTGGCGCGAGGGAAGATAAAAGCCCAAGGCCACACGCCAGGGCCCCAGAGGAGTTGGGGAGAGCGTAGGATATATCTTGCGCCTCAAAACCGAAATTGGATGAGTGGGAGCAAACGGGCTGGAGCACCCAGAAGCCCGGCCTAAGAACGGTGGAGGCCCCATAAGTCCCTGTCCTCAGTAGGTGGCCTGGACCGGCAAATGACGTGCGCCCTCAACCTAACCGCGCGACCGCAGGTCCTCTCGGGACATGGGTGTTTCGGGAGGGACCTGTTTCGCGTGGCGAAAAGAGGGAGCCCACATGAATGCCACCACTGTGGACGTAATGTTGGCCGAGGAGACGGCCCAAACACGCGCTGAAGAAGAATGCCAATCCTGGGATGGGAAGGCATCGGCCAGATAAGCTGGTGTCGGATATCGTTGGCACGGACCTCTCGATGCCTGCCGGGGTGCGTGCTATGGTGGACAGCGAGAGGGCGTGGGGTGCGGTCCTTGGCTTTTTGTGAGGACATAGTCACCCGGAAGGAGCCGCGGAGCGAGAAAGGGAGGTCAACGCCACCCTGGAATCCGCCCGCCGGAGACCAGGGCGCAGGAGCAAGCCTGGCCTACGCGCGCAACCTTCCCCCTTCTGACAGGAAGCCCTGGGCGGCAGATGTGGGATTAACTGCTGCCCGTAGGGTGGAGCTCGAGAGGGGTGTGCCGTGTCCCCTTGCACCGATACGGCACCATTTGGCTGGACCGGGTGGGCTAAAAGGACCCCCGGAGAGAGGGAAGCCTTAGAAGGCCACATCGCGCCGGGGTTCGCGGAAGATTGCGTTTTCGTGTTCCCGTGTCCCCGGCAAAAGCGACAGCGCAGGTAGCAACGTTGGTTTTTTTTTTTTAATGGGTACCCCCCGTATCCTGGGGGCCTCCCACATACCCCTCTCGGCTGTCTACCCACAAGGTGGGCGGGGGTATCCAGTAAAGGATTTTTCTTTCCCACGTTTAACAAAAAAAAAAAAAAAAAAAACATGTAGGTTACGTTCGGTTAGTTTGTTTTTTTTTTTTGTTTTTTTTGTTTTTTTTTTTTTTTTTTTATAATTTTTATTCCGTGTTTCCCCCTGACATGAGTTCTTCAAGGGCCCGTATTGTTTTCTTTTTAAGGTGTAGGCTTTTTTTTCAAATGGACTTCGTGTGGTGGTTATTTACAGTATGAGTGCCAGGCCTATTTCCTACTTTTCAATTATATGGTTTCTTCTTACCGCGATATGAATCAATTGTTTTAGGTCTTCTTCTCCGCACTAACTTTTGCTTTTTCTTTTTCATAACATCAAATGTGTATTCATTGTGGAAATTACCACTTATAGTAGGGACCTAACAGTGTTGTTTGTTTTTATGACACAGTGTAGTGTGACTTAGAGTCTTATAATTGCTACCTGTTACATTCAATGAGCTTCTTATAGTTAATATTACGTAATGAATGATAGGACTATTTCCTAGGTTTTTCAAATTTTTATGTTTTCTTAACTCTATTAAATCTATATTGTAGTCCTTCTACGCACTAACTTTTCTTTTTTCTTCTCATAACAGCTATTTTTCTATTTTTCTATTTTTATATAATAACTTTATATTTACACCTAACATTTTACACACACATTTTTATTTACTAGAGGCTCGTAGAATTGCGTGAGCTACCTGTACATTTATTATGTACCTGTG